TTTTCATGTGTGTAAAAATAAAAAAAAAATCGGGCCTAAATTTAAAAAAATTTAATTTTTTATAAAAAATCGCTGGTTTAAAATTTATTTTTCTTCTTATTTTTATGTATATAAAAATAAAAAAAATAAGAAAATCGCGCCTAAATTTAAAAAAATTAAATTTTTTTATAAAAAAAATCGCTGGATTTTATAAACAAATTGAAATTTATTTTTCGTTAACATATTTTGAAAGTCGATGAAAAACAAACTTTTTTGTATGTTGGTCATAATTCCTAAATTCATTACTTTTAGAGTTACATGTCATTGAATAATAATATTCTTGACTCAATTCTTTTTCTGTTCTTGACGCAAGTAAAATATTTCGCTTGAAACAGTAAGATATATTTACTTGTATGAAACTCATATTTTCTTATTTCAAGAACATTGCTCAATGCTCAAAATTACTTGACTCAAGAAAATAAATTTCATCCAATAAGAAAATATCGTCTTGTTTCAAGTAAAGTACCTTAAGTAAATGCATTAACTTGATTCAATTAACTTTTTTTTCAGTGTATATGAAATAAATTTTCAACGCCGAAAAAATTCAGTCTGCCTGATTTGAAATGAATTCAGTTTTATAATTATTTCCTCAAAAGAGTAAACAAATTTTTTAAAATTTATTCAGATTGAACAAATATATATTCGTATACATATAAATTGATAAAAGTATAAAAAAGTGTAAAATATATTAAATATGTTTTCAAAATTCACAGCTATTAAATAAACCAAATATTTGCAATTTTTGTTAATTATAAAAAAGTATAATTATATTAAATTAAATAAATACTTACCAAAAATATAAAGCACTTGAGATGATGAACTTGTAGATTTTCCATTCACTTTTCTATAAAATTTCTAATAAACCGCAGTAAACTACAAGTACACAGAGTGTAAGCAAAACTTGCTGAAAATTTTACAAGTTAATTCGCGGTTGATAAGTCTTATAAAAAAGTTTTCTGTATAAAATTGTGTCACTTTGTTGATTTTCGCGATATTCGAACACGTTAGTAACTTTTTGGAAGATGAATAAATAAATAGATTTTGGGAATAATTATAATATAGTCACTAAATATACGCACAGAAAAAGTTTTTTTTTATTTTTGTTGAAAAATTATTGGGCAATAATAGAATGGGTTTTTTTTCGACGCGACCACATGGCTCTTTATATGAAAACGGTGCTCAATTCATTTTGATTTAAATACTTTTTTTTAATATTACAACAGATTACAATAAAGTAAATCAAACTGAATTGAGCACACGATTTATTGTTAGTGATCGAAATTATACCGAAAACACCTATCGTAAAACTTATAAAAAGTGTACAATGAAAAAATAAATCTTATCTAAAAATAGACAAAAATTACTGTTCCTTTCTAATACCCAAAAAGAAAAGTTCTATTTCATATATAATCATGTCAGATACGTTTATCAGAGAAATACATACAATATTTTCACACGCAATAATTCAATTTTTATAAAAAAAATCAGTTAAACACTAAAATTAATTGAAATAATTAAAATACCTTGGTTACAAAGAGATATAAGTGAAATCTAACCTTATTTTCAAGCTCCTGTTCAAGATGCTTTCTCCGAGGAAGTTCAACATGTCTGTACACTTTAGTCAACTTTTCTTTTAGCCTGATAATCGAAGCATCCGAAGAATACTTTTAAACTATTTCACTTGTTTTAATATTGCCTTATAAATGAATTAAACAACGTAACAAACGCCATATAAACGCTACAAAAATGTCCTTGTTGCCGGGGCGCGAAATCTTCGTTGAAATTTGCAAAGATAAGAAGAGAGCACAGCGCCATTCAAGACAACTAGTGATGACTGGCGCTTTGTATTGATAAATGTTTCGTAAATTGGCCACCTAAGAGAGGCGCTGCGGTCGCAATGATGAAATAATTATACTGAATGTTTAAAAATGTTATAATGTTGAAAATATTGATAATATTTCAATAAATATAATAATATTATATAATATAATAATAATATAATAATATATTTTATAAATTTTTATATTTATCACTCGGTAAAGGTTAAAAAGGAAATAGAATATTTTTATCAATCACTTTAACTCAAATAAATAAAAAAAGGAATTATTTTTATTTTATTTAGAAAGTTGAAATTATATGATAATATATTATTATATTAAAATATAATATATTTGTATATAGTAGCAAATATAATAATATGCAATAATTATAATGTAATAAGAATTGATAATAAAATATTTTTAAAATAAAATTAGATAAAATTATGTAATTTATAATAAAAAAATATAAAATATTATACATACAATAAAAAATATAACTATTATATATATGGGTTACATCGGTTAAATTTTAATTATGTAGAAAATATGTAAAATTTATTTTAAGCATCAAAATATACAAAATTAATTATACTTTTGTATTAATTAATAATCATAGCAAATTTAAGACTTTCTCATTATGAGTGTAAAAAAAATAATAAATAAATAAACAATAATACAGAATAGAATAGAAAATAGAAAAATAAATTGTAATAAAAATCAAATTTTGTGAAATTTTTTTTTATTAATAAAAATTTACCTCCTGTGCGATTCCAAGTGAGATTTTGACTTTTTCGGAGTAGGTTAACCGATTGCAATGAAACTTTGGAATTTTGTTATATATAGTAAGACTAATCTTTAACGTAAATTTCAGCCTAAAATATTTGTTAGTTTACGAGATTTGCAATAATAACAAAAAATTTAAAACTGCTATATCTTCCGTTCTAATAAACGGATTGAGGTCTACTTTTTTTTAAAATGTCAAGGAAAATGAGAGGAATAAATCTCTTTCAGAACATTTTTTTATAATTTTACAACTAAAAAAATTATTAAATAATAATTGAATAACTTTCGCGCGACTAAATAAAATTCAATCACTTAAACGCTAAAATGATCTTACCTGTGTTTTCTTTAATGTTCCAAAGGATTTTTATTGTAAATGTAAGTTTAACTTAAGAAATTTTATTAATTTATTAGTATAAACAATTGAGATTTCTGCTAGTTGACGTGCAGACGACATTGCGCACGCAGCATTCTCACATAGCCAATTTAGTCCACGAATCACGTCAGTTGGCTATGTGAGAATGCTGCGTGCGCAATGTCGTCTGCACGTCAACTAGCAGAAATCTCAATTGTTTATACTAATAAATTAATAAAATTTCTTAAGTTAAACTTACATTTACAATAAAAATCCTTTGGAACATTAAAGAAAACACAGGTAAGATCATTTTAGCGTTTAAGTGATTGAATTTTAGTTAGTCGCGCGAAAGTTATTCAATTATTATTTAATAATTTTTTTAGTTGTAAAATTATAAAAAAATGTTCTGAAAGAGATTTATTCCTCTCATTTTCCTTGACATTTTAAAAAAAAGTAGACCTCAATCCGTTTATTAGAACGGAAGATATAGCAGTTTTAAATTTTTTGTTATTATTGCAAATCTCGTAAACTAACAAATATTTTAGGCTGAAATTTACGTTAAAGATTAGTCTTACTATATATAACAAAATTCCAAAGTTTCATTGCAATCGGTTAACCTACTCCGAAAAAGTCAAAATCTCACTTGGAATCGCACTCCTAAGAATCAAATAAAAAATATTCAAACACATTTTTCGATTAAAGTCTCTTTTATTTATAGATGTTCTTATAATTTTCATATATATCACTTTTAGAACCCGATTAAATTTCACAAGAGATAAAAATTCTCAAAATTATATACAGCTCTTACTGTGATTATATTTCATGAATTTAATAATAATAATTGTAATTGTCTATACTTGAAAGAAAATTCTTTACTCAAAATTTTTGTGTCCCGGCGTAAATTTTATTAAATTTTCTTCTTTTTTCTCACACTTTATTTTTTGTCTCCTTTTTTCTTAAAGAGTTAATAAAATGTTTCTTTTTTTTCTTTCTCGATTAAAAAATGAGCACATTCACAATTATTTATAATATAATATCAGAAGACAAATATATCAAAGCCCAATAAATAGACAACATTTAATTTATCATCAATTTTTCAAATCATTCCAAAATGATAAATATGGAATGTTTTTTTTTCTGACTCCTTACATATATTTACAATTAATCGAACTTTAAATGAGTGAAACAAAATTGGCACACAAAATACAATAGTAAACTCTATTATTTGTCGACGCACGGGACTTAAAATATTGGAGACAACAAAATCTTGTTAAATTTATTTTTATTTGAAAAATTGACAATTCATCATTATATTTTAATAAAAGAAATTAAATAATAGAATAAAAAATTGATATTTTTTTCCTTCCTTTATTAGGTAGAGAAATTTTTTTTAATTTTCTACTCTTCCAGTAATGGAAAAAATTTATCTACAAAATAAAATTGATTTTAAATCGAAGGAATTTCAATTATTTTAATTTCTTTTCAATTCTTTTTTCTTCAAAAAAAATGTTTATATTAATTTTTTCCAACAAAAAATATATTTTAACTTTTTTTTTTTACTACATAAAAAGCGAGATTAGTAAATTTTTTTTATTTATTCATTAACAGGAAATATAAAAATTAAATTAATTTTTCGAGATGAAACATTTTGAAATTTTTAAATATTTCACGAATTGTCAACTTTTCGTTTCAAAAATTAATAAAATCGAAATTTCTAAAAAAAAAAAAATAAAAATTCGAAGAGACTTTTTTCAACTCTTATTATTAAGAGAGCTCGGATGGGCTTTAAAATCTACTTTTCTTAGTCTCCTTTTTTGCAAACAATAATTTTCAAAGAAAACATTCTTAGGATTATTTTGAATGTTTGTTTTTTTTATTTCTTCTTTTAAACTTAGCCTATCCTTAATCCCTTGAATTTTTCCCCCGATTTTTTTTTGCCTTTGACACGACAAAAATTAGCTGCCATTTATAATTCAGTTCTGCAACGTCTTGTGCACTATGTAAAGTTATTTTTTTTTTAATAAAGTGTCAAGAAAATCATCGTTCAATGATGAACCTCTGCAATAACTAGATTGTATTTTTTTTTTTTATCTAGAAATCTCGATAACTAGGAATCTACTAGAATTATTAGGTACAATGTTCGTCTACAAATTACGCGCCGCATTTTTCAAAATAAAAAAAAAAAAACTTACACTTCATTCCTTCGACAAATTTTCTCACGAATTTTTCATTTTTTCTTTTCTTTTCATATATAATAATATAATTCGCATACACTAAAAAAAGGTGCATGTATTATAACGTATCGACATTTATATTCGGTGCGTATACATTTTTCTTAATATTGGACTTCATCCAAATCTTAAAACCGAAATATGGACAGTTTCATTTAATTTCTAAGTCGATATCAATCGCTTTTTAAGTTTTATTTCTTTTTCTCACACATACACACATATTTTTTCTCTTTCTCTCACTAAATAATAAAATATTTACAAGATATTTACAATTAGATGTACACTGTGAAGATTGAGTTGTATTGTTAGTTAACAAACGAAATTTGAATTTTTTTTTTTTTTAGTTTCAAATTTCGTTAATAAAATAATTTATATTCTTTTTCGGTGAGAGATTTTTAAATTGTTTTGTTTTTAGACAAAATAATTTAGTTTACGAATTATTAATACATAATATATGTTATAATAAAATCTTTGATTAGAAGGAAAATAAAAGCTTAAATGACTATTAAAATTCTCATCAATCCTCAGTTCTTGAGTGACAGATTTCTTTTTTTTTTTTTTACAAACATTTCACTATTCTTTTAAAAAAATATCAAGTGAAGGCAATTAAAATAAAAATCATTTTCATTTCAATGAAAATGAATGAATGAAAATTAATAAAAAAAAAAAAAACATTTAACAAAATCACATTTCGGAAAATTTGTATTTCTCGAAATTTTGTTACTATTTTTTGTTACTTAAATTTTAGTAAAAGAAAATTTTATATCGGACATTTTTTAGCTTTTCATTTGCAAAATAAAAATAATTTCATATACAGTAAAAAATTGTTATCCATTGAGTGAATTGATAATAATAATTTTATAACAAAATTTAACAGTTTTTTTTTTTTTTTATACAACTTAGTTGTTTATGTATTCCTTTAGATACATACAACAAAAAATAAAAAAAGCAAGCGATTGCAATTAGTTTTTTTTAAAAGAAGTATATTAATTAAAATAAAGCATTGGGATTCTAGACTATTTTCAAGAAGTCTAAAGAAAAAAATTGCAAGTTGATCGTCTTTTGAAGATTATCAACTTGAATTAGAAGGCACGCTTGAAATAGGTAACGTTCATTTTTGAAAAAATATTTGTTCGTTACATTAAAAGAAAAAAAAAATTAAAAAAAAATAAAACAAAAAAAATATATATATTTTTTTTTTATAATTATTATATAGCTCAAACCTTCAGTCGTTCTCGCGTGTCACACAAAAACAACAATAAATACAAGCATCGCGAATATCTACTACATCTATACAATATACAATTTCTCGGAATATAATTCTCCTTAAGACTTGAGTTAATAATCCGAAACTACTACCGAATTTCCCTGATTATAAAAGTTGCATTATGGACTAGTAAAGTCCCATCTTTTCTTTTTTTTTTTTTTTTCATTCTCATATCTTTTACCCAGATGACTTTTCCTTTATTTTCAGCAATACGTCTCCATTTTTAATTGTCCCAGTTTCACCTTAACATCGTGAAAGGTGGGTCTCTTCTCTGGTTGCAAGTCCCAAGCCTAAATAAAATTTAACTCGTGTTAAGTTAATTTGTAAATTTGATAAACACTCTTTACAAATTTTAATTTATCAAAATTTCAGTTTAAAATCATTTGAACTTTAATTAATTCCAAAAATCTTAATTGTAACTTTTTCAAAATTCAATAATTTAAATTATCTTAAATTTTAAGTTATCAAATAAATTATTTTCAATAATTTTAATAGTTTTTTTTCAAAAATTCGATTATTTAAAAAATTTTTAATTAAAAATATTCTAAAATTCAATTATTGTCTGAAATTTGAAAAAAAAATCCTCAGATCGATTTGTAGTAAATTGTATGTTTTTACTTTTTTGTGTAGGTAACTTTGTAGTAATTCAAATTAAAATTTTTTTTAAAAAATGCAAAATTGCAAAACAAACTTTCTTCTATATAAAAATGTGTCATTTAATTAAATAATTAATTTATTTAAATATTTTTAAATTTAATCAAAATAAAACTTAAAATTAAATTCTTTTTTCAAGTTTAAAACAAGTTTAAAGAGTAAAATAATTTATAATTTTTCCAACAAAATGTAAAGCCTTGTTGTTTAAAGATTTTCTCTGTAATCTAAAAAGAGTCTCCTCAAAGCTATTTAAATATCTCGTTAATAAACTAAGCCAACCTGTCGCATTATCTCGTAAACTTCTGGCGGACATCCATCAGGTGGTTCCATTATGTGACCCTCTTCTACACTTTTAACAACGTCTGCCAACGGCTGCAAATTACTTTATTATTAATATTTTTCACAACAGAGTGCAAAAAATATAAAATTGAATTTTTTTTAATTTTTAGTACAAGCAAAAAAGAAGTGATGATAAATTTTCATAAAGTGAGAAAAAAGACAGAATAATTGAAATTTACTGTTTACTATTATAATTTATTTATTATGCACTAAAATCAGTATTTCAAAAATATTTTCAAAAACTATATTTTAGTTTCCTATTTGTTAAAGATTGAAAAAACAATGTAAATTGTTTATAATTTTATTTATTTGAATTTTTTCTATAATCTAATTTTCTATAATTTCTATATATATATTTAAATTGTTTTTATACTCACTATTCTGGGATAAGGTACTCGGCCAAAGGAATAAATTTCCCAAAGTAAAATTCCAAAACTCCACATGTCAGACTTATTAGAAAATTTCTAAAAAATAAATATATCGTTACGAACGAGAAAATATTTATAAACTATTTTATTTAATAATTATTAATTACTATATATAATAATTAGAGAAACTAAATTTGCTTTAAAAATTTATAGTTAAATTAATACAAAAAAATGATGCATATATATATATTGTAAAATAATTTTTAATCTACAGTGAAAATGAAAAGTTTTTATAAAGAAGAACATAAAGATAAAATTTATTTTTCTTATTCATGGAAAATAGTTTGTATGTAAATCACGGAGAAAAATATATGTGTTTGTGAAAAGAATGATTTAGTATAGGAAAAGAAGAAAGAAAAAAAAAAAAAGTCAAGTAACTCATTACGTTGTGTTTTAATGCCTCGGGTGCGGTCCATTTTATAGGCAACTTTCCACCATCGAGTGAAAAGTTTTCATCCCGCGCTAAACCAAAGTCCGAGACTTTTGCTGTTCCATCTTCCGCAACAAGAACATTTCTCGCGGCTAAATCTCGATGCACAACATGTCTAGATTCCAAGTATGCCATTCCAGCACAAGTATCGCTGAAAGAAAAAAAGAAATTATTACAAATATTTTTCTTTATTAATTCAATAAAAATAAAAATTTAACAAATTAATAAACAATTATCAAATTTTAACAATTAATTCTCTAATAATTAAATAGAAATTTCGTATGGATTTTGTATTCAATTATTAACAAATTTTTTAATAAAATTTTACGAAATTTTAATTATTTATCATTCATTTAATTTTTTTAAATATCTAGGAAAATTCAATCATTTTAAAAATTGTTATTCAAATTTTTCAGAATTTTGAATAAATTCTTATGAAAAGACTGAATTATTTTTAAAAAAATTTCATTTAAAATAATATCAAAATTTTCAATTTCAAATCTTTTAAAACTCAATTGTTTCTATAATATTATTATATAATTATGTTATTTACAAAAAATTTTAACTAAAATTATTTGTAAATTTTTACATATTTTAATAAATTTCTTCAATAATTTTATGAATTAAATAATTTTCAAATTTAAACAAAATTGCTTCTAAAATTTTTATTGCCAGAAAAGTTATGTATTTATAATAAATAAATTTTTATCTGAAATTTTTAGTCGAAGTGATTATTTTGAATACTTAATTGTAATAAAGTTTTTAGAAAATTCAATTATTTAAAACAATTTTTAATAAAATATTCTTAAAAACTCAATTGTAGTTTGTTGAATATTAATAAATGAATATTGAAGAATATTGAATATTTACTGATAAATAGAAACAACAAAAATAAATTTGAAAAAAAAAAAAATAAAAATAAAATAAAAATAAAATAAAAATAAATAAAATAAATTTTTAATATTTTTTTAATACAATTTTAACAATTTAATATTTATTTCTTGAATATTTATTAAATTATTAATTTTTTTTTTTATACAGAAAGCAGTATTTTAGAAATAAATTCTGAATTTACAGGGTGTCTAGCGCTGTTGCGAAATAAAATTCCAGATTTTCCAGATTAAAAATTTTTTTTCCAGGTATGTACTATAAGATTAAATTATTTTAAGTCTCTTTTTATAATAAACTAGTAATAAATAATTTTAATTTTTTGCATTTTCAGGCTTCGGATCGAATTTAAAGGAAGAAAAAGGTCGTTTTTATCAATTTACATTACAAGAAGACTCAAAAAAGACGCTTCTTTTATTTTTAAATAAATACAATTAGTAAATATTTTATTATTATCAACCAATTGTAATTAGAAATTAAATAAGTTTTATTAATTCCTTAATAAAAATGTTTCATAAGGATTTTTTCAAAAAATTTTGTTTACAAAATTTTAGAATTAAACTGAGACAAATTTTCAAAAATTCAATTTAGTATAGGACAAATTTTAAAAAATAATTTAAAATTATTCAAAAAAAAATGTTCCAAATATGATTTCTGCAAATTTTTCGAATTCAGAAGTTTAGAAAATGTTTTAAATAATTAAATTTTTGAAGAACTTCATTAAAATATTATTCAAAAAAAAGAATTTAGTAAAAATTTTAGAAAAAATTAATATTTGAAAAAGTTGCAGTTAAAATTTTTAGAAGTAAATAAATTTTTGAAGATTTAAAGTAACAAATTTTTTTTTAGAAATAATTGAATTTCAAGAAATTTAAAATTGAAACTCATAAATTTTAATTAATGAATTTTTTTTACATAGGTATTTTAGAAAATTGAATTTAAAAGGACTTTCAATTAATAAATATTTTAAATAATGGAATTTTTAAAGAACTTGATTAAAATTATTAAATATAATTAATTTTGCTAAGAATTCTAGTTAATATTCTTTTAAATAATTTAATTTTGGAAGATTTGAATTTTATTCATATAAAGTCGTATTTTCTTTAAAAAAAAAATGTTTCAGAAAAAGTCGGAAAAGTCGCATTTCATTAAATTAAGTTGAAAATAGTCTCATATATTGAAAAGAGTCGAAAAAGTCCTGATAAAAAATTCAAGAACTTTTCCAGGTTTTCAAGGTAAAAAAAAAAATTCAAGGACTTTTCCAGATCGCTAGACACCCTGATTTAAAGAAATTGTAAAAAAAAAAATTTCATTCTTTTGAACGTTCAGAATTTAAAGAACATTATTTTCCTTAAATAAATTGAAAAAAAAGTCATACAATCCGAAATCATAATTTAACAAATAAATAAAAGAAGAATAAAAATAACTTACAACGCAAAATTAATTTGATCCTTCTTAGAGACATGTAATCTTCCTCGTGATCTGAGATAATCGACAAGAGATCCATTACTCATATATTCAGTGACCAGGTACATATGTGGATTATTAAAAACAAGTCCAAGAAGTTTCACCAAATTATCATGAATCAATGAAGTCATTAAACTTGCTTCGGCTAAAAATCTTTGTGCCGCTTCACTATTGTCCTTTAACATTTTAACAGCAACTCTTTCGCCACGATAAACGCCAAGAAGAACATCGCCAAATTCACCTTTACCAATGCATTCGCGTAATTCTAATTCGTGTGTTTGTATAACCCAGCCAGCTTCAATAAATGCTTTTGGATCAACGCAAAAATCTTGTTTACCTTGTTTTGGCAATGATTTTGTTAATTGTGTACATAAACCATCGGCATCTTGCTCATAGTGCTCGACGAGGAGGGCGAGATTTTCAAAGAACTCCTCGTCGTCTATTGTTAATTGATTGTTTTTATATTTCACACGATAATGTTGAACGCGCCCTTGATAGCATACACATAATGTATAATCGCCTGGAAAGTTCGTCGACTCACGAACTAGAAATAGGCCATCTTCACGTGGTCGCAATAATCTTTCTGCTGTTTCCCTCGATATTTTACCATGAAACCATCTGTAAAAACATTTCAATTTTATTTATAGATTCTTTATCAGAGTATTGCCACATACAAAATTTTCATTATAATTTTCCCCTTAACATTTTCCTCAGTTCGAAACAATATTTTGTGTTTTCCACAGATATTTTCGAATTTTTTTTTCTTTTTTTTTATCAAATGTGAATTCTATTTTTAAAAAATGTGATAAATGAAAATTATTTTAAACAAAACTTTGTAAAAAGAACAATTCATTTAAATTCTTAAATAAAATTTCAAAAGCTTTAATAAAATAAAATATAGTCGAAAAATTCAATTATTTTCAAAAATATAATTTAAAAATTTTTAATTTTATCTTTTTCAAAAAATTCAATGAACTTCTTTAATAATTTAATTATTTAATCAATTAGCAAATTAAAATTAATTTTTTTTTAACACATTAATTTTAATTTACACAAAATTTATTTATTTGTACAAAAAATTATATTATAAATTTTTCAAATATTTATTTATTTATTTTATATTTAATTATATTATTAAAAACTTTTATTTTTAATTACAAATTCTCTAAAACTTAATTATTGTTAAAATTAAAAAAAAAATCTTTAGCAATTCAAATTTACAAAAAATTATAATTTCAGATCTTTTGAAATTCAATGAATTCTAAAAATGTGAATAGGAAATATTTTGAAAATTTAAGTATTTTCCGGAACCTCAATTATTGTGAAAATCTTATATTGAAATTTACTTTTTTTTTTTAAATTTTCACTTCCACAGAAGTCAAAATAAATAATTAAAAATTTTATTATTTTATTTTATTATAATAATGTAACATAGATATATATTATCTTTTTACATGAGGTTATATATATTCACTTAAACAGAAAGCTTTTAATTTTACTAAACCTTTATTTAATTAAAAATTAATTGTCAGTTAAATTTTAATATTAATTTAAAAAATTAAAAATATATTAAATTCCTAAATGGAATATTTTTATCCTTTTTCAATGTCAGTAAGAAATATTAAATTTGGAAATTATTAAAAATATAAGACACAGGAAACTAACAGAACTGACGATTATATGTTTCTCTTCTTTAATCACCTTTGTTACTTTTAATAATTGTTGGATACATTACAAGGCAGGAATTTGACAATTAATTATGTAGTCATTGTTATATAAAATTAACGTCGCTAACCACATGATTATTAACATACATTGATAACTAGACTCATATATATATATACAACATTAACAAGTTCAATTATTTTTTTTATATTATTATTATTATTAGCGTCGTTATTAAAACAAATTATTTTTTTTGGACCTTCTTAGCAAGGTGAAATTATTGTACAATTACAATTTATACAAAATTTTAAGCTTATTAACCAGGTATTTAATTAAATTTTTTTATTCTTAATAATTAATTTTTTTTTATTTTAATTGAATTAAATAATAAATTATCTTTATTGTGATAATTTTGTATTTAATTTAAAAAACTGAGGTCAGATAATGAATTTCAAACATTTTCAAATGTAAAGGGGGAAATCCCCTAATAAACTGACAACATTAAGTTGCGCGCGCACTCGTTCACAAATTCTTAAAGGTGCATTCACAGTTCTTTATTTAAAAACGAAAAGTCAAGTACACATGTTAATATAATTTTTTGGTGTTAAAATTAGGATTTACTGCAATTTACTGAATAATTATAATAAAGTTTTGTTAATGAGAGTAAAAAATGTGATTTTTTTAGTGTTTAAAAAGATATTTATAATAAATTTTAGTTATTTATTGAAATGGTTTTTGAGAGCACGAAAAAATCAGTTTTATAAGTACACATAAGTAATCATTTTATGCAGAAAATTATGAACGTTTACTTTTTCTTTTGTTCATTTTATAATATTCCGAAATGAAGGCATAATATTTGGCCTAAAAGTTGTATATTTTAACAAAATTTAAAGGTCTCATTACTAATTGCTTTCGTTGTACCGTTGTCAGTTTCGGTACTATAGTGATACACATAAATTACACAGCCCCACAAAAAAAAAAGTGTCATGTACTTTTGATCGGAATACCCTAACCCTATGTATTTTGACGCGCTGAACACGAAACCGAAGTCCGTTTTGCTCCATCACGTCAGGATTTTTTTCTAACCTCAAAAAACATGTCCGATTTTGAGAAGTAGGCGATTTTTTTAAAAATTGATGTATTAACTTCAAACTTAGTATCTGGGGGTTTTTTGTGTCGCTGATTACGAATCTGAAGTTAGATTTTCAAAATCCAAAATGGCGGATCCAATAAGCGGACGAATTTTGAAAAAATTTTAAGATTTACTTCAATCTTGGTATCTAGGGGTTTTTTTGGGTCGCTGATTACGAATCTGATGTCAGATTTCCGAAATTCGATATGTCTGATTAAATATTAAGAAATTATTTTTAAAAAATTGTCAGATTTTTATGAAATTTGGTATCTACAGGTTTTCTAAGTTGCTGACAAGTAACACTAGGGAAGTGCAGTACGCCGTTTTTTCTGAAACTTGGCAGTTTTGTAGTTTTTTTAAAACAATTTGACACGTATTTTTTTGTTTTTCCCCAAAAGTTGATTTAAGGCGGGAAACTACCTGTTGATTTTTTTTTTGGGAGAGGGACATTATTTTACGAAATTTTTTAAAAATTAATGTTCAATAGTGTATCTATAGGGGTTTTTTGGGTCGCAGATTACGAATCTGATGTCAGATTTCAAAAATTCAAAATGGCATATCCAACATGGACTTCTATCGGCCATATTAGATACGCCATTTTCAATTTTTGAAAACTGACATCAGATTCGTAATCAGCGACCCAAAAAACCCCCAGATACACTATTGCACATTAATTTTTAAAAAAATTTCGTAAAATAATGTCCCCCTACCAAAAAAAAATTCAAGGGGTATTTCCCCCCCATAAATCAGCTTTTGGGGAAAAACAAAACATACGTGTCAAATTGTTTTCAAAAAACTACAAAACTGCCAAGTTTCAGAAAAACCGACATAAGGCACTTCCCCAGTGTTACTTGTCAGCAACATAGAAAACCTGTAGATACCAAATTTCATAATAATCTGACAATTTTTTAAAAATAATTCCTTAATATTGAATCAGACATATCGAATTTCGAAAATCTGACGTCAGATTCGTAATCAGCGATCCAAAAAACCCTTAGATACCAAGTTTGAAGTAAATAAATTAATTTTTTAAAAAATTGCCTATCTCTCAAAATCTAATCAAAAAAAGGAAATAAATTTAAAAAAAAATACATACGGCATTGCATTGAGCTTCACTTCATGCCTAGGATTCGTTGGCAGGACGTTCGTATTGCCGCTATTTGTTGAATTTGAAGTGATAATGACTGGTGAGGGAAGTGCATTAATATGAGAGGTAACATTTTGCGATGTAATGTTTGAATGTGTTGTCATGATTGGGGATACTGGATGGGACGGAATAATGTTGGAAGTCGTGGTGAGATTGGAAGAATTTGAATGTTGTATTGTGTTATGAAGTAAGGAAAGATTTGTTATGGTTGATGGAATTGTGTGATGGTGATTTTGGTTGCTGTCGAGTTTTGCTTGACGGGCTGGTGCTGATAAATTTGGGTAGACACCGCCCGCATTGTGATACGTTGGCATTACTGCTGACGCCAGGGTAGGCAATAATCATCTGCAACAAATTTCAAATAATATAAAAATTATCCTGAATTTCATTTAATTAGAAAAAGAATAATAATTTCCTAATCTAAAAAGCGCAAAAATATTCTGTGGATGAAAATTTTCCATTATACATATATTTTATAGAATATTTGAGTACTTTATAAAAACAATGTTGTGTTTTAAATGTTTAATTTTTTTATATAAACATTAAATGTTTTTCTTCCTAATCGTATCGTTTTAATTAAACAAAGTATGATTCATTTAATATGAAACTTTTGGTAAAAAAAAAATCGTGAAAGCATAACTACTTTGAAGTAGAACTATTCATTAGCTTTAGTGGTGGGTAATTCGAATCCTAATTCATTGAGAGAGTTCATAGAACAATAGAATTGAGTGTCACCTTCTATGTGGGAAGTTCAGTTCGTCAAATCAGAGTTGACACGTCTTCTACATACAAGAGAAGAAAAAAAAAGGCGGTCATTTAAGAAGCTATTGTTTTAATGCATTTGCTATATAATCGTGCGACGTCTACGTGTTTTGATCGTCTCTTGGAAATTGTTTATATATACGCGAGAATATATATATGGTAAAAGAATGAGTCACACTTGCTTTATTTTCACGCAGTTGTTATGAAATAATTATACTGTCTGAATAGACATAACTTCATCACTCTTTTTTTTATTATTATTTAAAATTTTTAAAAAACGTAAATGAAAAAAATATTTTAATTTAAAATTTCAATTTCTTGTTTTTAATTATAATACGTAGACTTAAATCGGGACGCATGATCATGTTCTAAAAATCATTTTTTAGAATTTTCATTTTATGGAATTTCATTTTTGGCATAATTATTTTTGAGCCAAATTTTTGTTTGTTCGAATTAGTATTTTGTAGAAATTTCATCAAAACGATTTTTCAAACTACAGAATTTTTACTTAACCGAAATATCATTTAACAGAATTTCTAATTGATAGAATTTTCATTTGTCCGAAATTGCAAATGTCCGAACAAACAATAGATTTCGGCGCGATTTTTAAAATCAACCAATCACAATTTTATGGATAATTTTTGATTGGTTGATTTTAAAAATCGCGCCAAAATCGATTGTTGTTTCGGTCATTTGCAATTTCGGACAAATGAAAATTCTATCAATTAGAAATTCTGTTAAATGATTTTTCGGTTAAGTAAAAATTCTGTAGTTTGAAAAATCGGTTACATGGAAATTATATCAAATAATAATTGAAAATTCGGCTCAAAAATAATTATGGCAAATGAAATTCCATAAAATGAAAATTCTAATTACTGATTTTTAGAATATTGTTACGTCGGATGCATAACGCAAGTATAAATTTCAGAGAATATTCGGAAATATTCTCTTATTTTATGTTTCGAGTCTAGACTTGCGTCCACTAACTCGGGAACGATTCAAATTGATCAATATATGTAAATAGGGATTTTCGCGGGGAAATTAAAGGAATAATTACGCGATAAACGCATTAAAATCCTTAGGTAAGGTAATGAAAATTATGGTAAATACAAAAATACGACAAGGAAATTGAAGAAATAAGAACACGATTAACGCATTAATATTCTTCGGAATTATTTAGAGATGACAAGAAAAAGATTTAGATGAAAGTTAGACAGCAATTTAATATAAGACTTACTTTTATTTAAACAAATTGGCACTTGTAGACTCGGAAATTGGTTGAAAAAGTGTTGAATTTTTGGCTTGAATCGTGGAAATTTTTAATACAATTTAAATTTAACACTTGGAAAATTGTTAGAAAAAATGAAAATTAATTGAACTTGAACTTGAACTTGAAGAAGAATTTGAGGAAGAAGTAGTTTTTTTAGAATTCTTGTGACTGTTTTTTTGACTGGTTTTGTGACTGTTTTTTGTGACTGTTTTTTGTGACTGTTTTTTGTGACTGACTTCTCAACGGGGTTCGTATTTTTATATCATTGTCCCTACCTATTTTTAGGGATGGAACTATGTTTTAAAATAATGGGTCTCAAAGTGGAGGAAAAAGAGGTTGGGAAATTACAAGGATTGGATCCAAGGAAAGAAAATGGGGAAAAAACTGGTTAGGTCAGTGACGGTATTGGGCCCTTCAGGCCCAGCCTTGAGAGATAAGAAGTTGCGTGGGCGTACTTGAATTAGGGGAGTTTTCAAGTGGAAGGGGCTTAAAGTTTTGACCGTTTTCAAGAGATGGAGCCAAAATTCAGTTTTCCAACCAATTTCTGAGTTTTTCATAATTTTCACATTATTAATATTAAAAATTAATTTAAACATTATAAATATTAATATTATTAGTTAAAAAGTTATTAACAATAATTTTTAACAATAAAATATAATTAATTATTAAAGTTTTAAAATATAAAGAATTTTGTATACTTAAATTGTTAATTAATGATTAAAAATTAATTTGAATAATTAAAAATAATTAAAATTTATTTAAAATTGTTTAATTTGTTTGTTAATTTAATTTTTATTATAAAAGTATAGAATATTCTTTATATTTAATGAAATTATTCTAAAACGTTTGAAAAGTAATTTAAAATAATTGAATTAAAAATTAATAATAATCAAAAATGAGTAATAATAATTCAAATGTTCAAATAATATTTATAAACAATTATACACAATAATTTATCTGTGAAATAATTAATTTATAATAAAAACTTGAAATATTTTAAATAATTAAATCCAATTAAAGAAATCAAAATTAATTAAAGTTAATTAACAATAAAATTTAAACATTTAAACAATTATTATTCATTATTTATATTTAAATCACTCATTCTCATACTTTACATAAAAAATAGTTAGGTCTTGTTGTTTGCAAGAGTGCATCGGTGCTCGGGATATTTAGATAGTTACGCTAGATTATTCAACTATGCTGACTTTATTTACAGGAGATATCAGAATGATATCTTCAAAATACAATTCTTCTCTATTTTAATTTTCGGAACTGTTGATTTTGAGCTTAAGGTTTTGAGAATTTTAGACGTGTTTCAAATTTACCGGTAAACAAGTTTTTTTAGAAGTAATTGCATTTTGAAGAGAACATTCTGGTATCTTTTATTTAATTTAAGATTATTTACGCTTGTAGATAGTTTTGAAATAAATGTTCAAAACAGCGACGAAGTGTGGGAAACACTTATAATTCTAATTTTATCTAAACTAATCTTATTTAAACATTTATATACTTGAATTATACACGGGACGTTACACCCCAGCCGTAAAATGGTTACTTGAGGATGAAAGACGAAAAGTGACCAAACAAAAAAAAAATTGTACAGATATTTTATATTTGCGGATGAAAAGTTTTGAGGTAGGCTTTGTTGCTTGTGAATTAATCATGCCCTAAGCGAAACACAAAAATTTAATCATATGCATGTCGATTTGTTATAAACATAATATGAAATAGAAAATTTTAATCGAAAAAAATAAAAGGTTTAAAGTTTTAGTTGCTTGAGAATTGCTCATAAGATAAATAGCATTTTGTTATTTCAGAAAGAATTAATTGTTATTAAATGATGTTCGTAATCTTGATTATCCTTTGTTACTGTTGAAACTGTAGGCAATTGTTCGGTTAACGAATTTCTTCACACTTCTTTCAGAACAATTTAGTAGATAGTAGACATCTACAGTTGAAAATGATTCTTCTACAATTGATAGATAGAATTTTTAGCTGTTGATACTTCTGGTAAATTAACTCTTGGTTGAATACTTCTTAAACAATAATCCTTTTATTGTTTTCTTTGTAAGATGATATGATTAATGATGATTGTCACAGTTTATAAAGTTATTTGCTGAATTAAAATGTGGATTCATTCAGATGTCCGAATTTATATGCATTTCACAATAAATTAAGTTTTGCATATCTTGAAGTAGTGTTGAAGTATCATGTTGATAAATTTTGTTTCTTATAGTGATGATAACATATAGGATGTTCAATAATCGTAAAATTTATCTTCTCTTCATTTTTTTAGGTATGTTTCCTATTAATTTGTTGATACAACAGGAAAATTCTTAATTTCTTGAAATGAAACAATTTGGATCTTACTATTAACCAATACAAATTTAAAATATAAACAATTTCTCTTTCAACTGTAACTTGTTTGTTTTTACCCTTTTTTACAATTTCAAAATAGATACAATTTATTTCTGAATTATACCTAATATTTCCACAGTAATAAGTTAAATTTAAAATGAATATTAATATTAAAATATTAAATTCTTTTTTACAATTTATAGAAATATAGAAAATGTTAACAGTAATAAATATAAAAAAATTTTACATAATTTTAATGAATTTATACAATTTTGGTGATTGGTGATGTTGTATTCCTTTGTAGTGATGATGGTTGTCCTTTTAATCCTTACAAACATTTATATATATATTTTTTTGACTCTATACAATTTAAAATTTTTCCTCTGTATGAAACTGTAAGTAATGCGTAATTTTAGTTTGATTTGTTTTGTAAAAAAAAAAAAAAAAAAATTAATTTTTGAAAATAGTTTGATCTGTAACATAAAAAAAAATTATTATTTTACAAGTAATTGATCTTTTGAAAAATACAATAATTTACTCTTTTCTTTATAAAAAAAAGAAAAAAAAAAAAAAAATAAACGTTTGTCTTTTTTCTTTAATTCTCTTTTTTGATGTATCAATTATAAGCTCATATTATTACAATCCAATATATCTATTTTATAAGCTTTGAATATTTTTCCATTTCAATATTTTTGATTCAGAAAAAAAAAATGATTTTAAATTAAAGATTATATAAAAACAATCAATTTGCGATTTAAGTTGTGTATGAAAGTAGTCGAAACTTTATTTGTAAACGAATGCAACCTTGCCTCTGAAAGTAGTCGAAACTTTATTCGTGAACAAATGCAACCTAGCCTATGCACAAACTACACAATTAATTATTATACACAAAACAAATATCTTATTGAATTTGAAAATAAAAAAAAATAACAAAAAAAAAAAATAACAAAAT